ATATTAATGGGCAAAAGTTGATATAGAGGGCCAAGGAAAAGGCAGAGAGACTGGAGATGAAATAAATTTCTAATCAGTTCCTAGAGAGATACACATATAACTCAGAGGATTGGTAAAACAGCCCAAGAACCTTTTAGAGTGGAGGAGTCTCCACTTGAAGGTTCTTGGCTGTAGCCCACAACCCACAGATATGAGGTGAGAGTAATTGTATAATTGATCTTTAAATTTGTCACAACTGCAGTTGAAATGCATTACAAAACACAAAGTAATTCGTTCGCTAATGCATATCAATTATTGGTGGAAGGAAAAATGCAGGGGCAAAAGGTATTTGTCTTCGTGTTGGCACTCGAGGACAGTCCTGTAACCATTGTAAATTCCAAAGTCTCATAAATGTGTGTGGCTATGCTTCAACTGACTGATTAAATTAGAAGTCACATAATATGACATTAAGAAAGTTGCTTTTATTGGTACCAGATATCAAAGCAAGAAATTTCTGCTTAATATGAGTGTGTCTGGGGAAACAGAGCTTCCCCAGCCAGAAGAAAAGGTTTTGTAGGTTTCTTTTGCTGGCTAGGTCAGGTCTCAGCTTAAATCTTGTAAATGCAGCCTCTGCTTTTAAAAACATATTTACTATACACTATAACATCTGTGGAAAATTCATCAAATCAGAATAACTCCTTCTGGTGGTAGTTGCTGTTCTCAGAAATGACCCCATTATTTTCATCTTCATAAACTCCTAACACAGGCTCTACATGACTTTTTTAACTGACCAAATCTAATAATATTGAAAAATTATATCTCGGTTATCGTTAATTTCGGCGAAATGTCATAGGAAAAAAGGTCTTAGAATTGTCTAAACATCACGAAAAACACATTAATAACAGCGAGAGAAAGACCGGTGCACGACTGAAATTTCACCCCAATTTTCACTGATTACATTAGGGAATACTGTATTATGTTGGGGGAAAAGATTAAAATGATTAACCTAACCAAACCTAATATAACCTGACCTGACCTGACCTGACCTAACCTGACCTGACCTAACCTAACCTGACCTAACCTAACCTATATCTTAACTCGCCTATATCTAGAATACTAAGCATTTGCACAAGAAAATTAATAGAATGAAAAGCATAATCAGTGAACAAAACTGTGGTATAACCGCAGTTTCGGACAATATGGATCTCGAGTTGACCAATGTGTTTTTCCGATTGTTTAGATAATTTTAAGACACTTCTTTTATCATGTCCCTCTAAAATTACTTAAATGTACGGAATCATCATCGAAGAAAAGTGTCTTAAAATTGTCTAAACAATCAGAAAAACACATTGCTCAACTACTAGGGTATTGTCCAAAAGTGCAGTTAACCAAAACTCTTTTAAAAAAAACTCATAATTACTTAACCACTGACGGTCACTAGCCGTATATTTGCCTTTGCTGCTTTATTAACTTTAGAAAGTTAGTTACTAGAATCAAAATAAGCACATACCTGCATCTGCTGTTTCCCATACACAGCATCTGAAAGAGTGCCATTTTCGTTCATATAAGAACAATAATCATCCCATAGATTGGGAAAACAGTTTAGAAGTGTATAAATCAAAATGTGTCACAGCTGGTACGGTTCTCTTATAATTGTTTACAACTTGACATGTTCTGTTGAGTACGAGTTGTCCAACACCTCGCCACTGCTATGCTTTGATGAAGTACAGGTGAATCATAAAACTAAAATTTGCAATAAAAATTAAATCATTTCTACTGACAACTGCAGTCCTCATCAGTTAAATAAAATAGTATACTATAATATATAATCAGGTTTAAATGTAAAAATGTTCCAAATATGCCACCTCAGGATATTTAAATTACGGTTACTAAATAAAGGAAATGACAACAGAAACACATAATGAAAATTTAAATGATCTTAAAGAAACACAAAGCTGGAGGCTTCAAACAACGTCAGCTAGAGAAGGTACAGAAAAGGGCCTGCAGAATCATGCTCGGCGCGAAGTCATGCTCGGCGAGAATATCCGGCTACCTAACGCTCTCTCTCCACCTCAAATGCCATCCTCGTTGACCTCCACCACCAAGCACTGGAAAGGTTTGGCCGTGGACTACTGCACCACCCTCGCCATCGCCACCTCCTGCCACCTGCAGCCCCCCACCCACCGGCAGTCCGCCACTACAAAAATACAGCCCATAGAGGCCCACGCCGATAGAAATAAGAACAGCACCATCCCATCTATTGTTAAAATAATAAACAACTCCTGATTTATGTACTGTACAGCCCTGTAAATGTATTCACTGCATATTATATCATTATGTCTAAATCTAATGTAAGTCTGTATATTTTCAGCCAACGGCTGCAGCTCTAATAAACCTTATTATTATTATTATTATTATTATTATTATATGAGCAATAGGGGTTGGTGTAAATGGGTCTGCCCTGTATGGGCCATGGGCCAATGGGCCCTGCATCTTCCTCCATTCTAATGGTCTTATGTTAAAGTTTTAACCAGAATGTCATTAATAAGGGGTCTAAATCGTAGTTGTCAGAATTCAAGTTGAAGTTAGGAATCTTCTGTATATACGTATACTGACTCAACTAATTTTGAAATAAAGTGTGTGTGTGGTCATTAAAGAGTACAGGAATGTGGTCGTCATCAACCACACAGTTGTCTATCACAACACCTTACCATAAACTAAGTAAACTTTCACTCACCTGTTGGTTCAAGTGTCCCAGGTAATGTCGTCTGCCATCCTCCATCACATTGACGTAAACACAACTTCATATTTTCTTGGCTGCATCGTTCCAGTGTTGGCCCATCATCAACAAATATATTTTAAATGATTCTAAAAAATCCTTATAAGTCTCACATTACCACTGTTTTCAGGAGCGTTGAAGATCTTCCATTATTCCCTTTAAACTGACGACAGCAACTTGGGTACGGTGAATATTTTGGCCATTATTAAGACGTCCTTAACGTAACAACTTGTTAATGTATGTATATTCTTAGAGGTTGACGTCCTTAACGTAACAACTTGTTAATGTATGTATATTCTTAGAGGTTGTAGTCAACTTCCCGGGCCGTTCCTTAGAAGAGTATTAAATGTCTCTCACTCTTCATGTTTACCACTTCGGGTCATGTAATAGCGATATATCGTTGTTTAGTCTAAACCAATTATATTATAAATTAATTAAATAGTTACTAATATAGTAATTGTATCATATTATATTTTTAGTATTGAACTCTTAATAAAGCCGAAATATTAATTATTACAAGCAAAGTTCTCAACAATGTTGTGATATATAACTCAGCCCGACTACAGGCTGGCTACTCTGGTTCATTGTTGTCAGCAGATCGTAGAATACAACAGGTATACAAACACAACATATACAAACACAACAGGTATACAAACACAACAGGTATACAAACACAACAGGTATACAAACACAACAGGTATACAAACACAACAGGTATACAAACACAACAGGTATACAAACACAACAGGTATACAAACACAACAGGTATACAAACACAACAGGTATACAAACACAACAGGTATACAAACACAATTGTTCAGTAAATTAAACATTATGGTAGAATAAATCAAGTTTTGGTCAGCATTATAAACTATGCAGAAAATTGAGACATCAAGATGTCACCATCCTGTATATTGTATAACCTTTTGGGTTACCTACAGGATGGTCCTGTATATATCCTTGGTGTCTCCAGGGGCCCTAGGGATCCTTGGTGTCTCCAGGGGCCCTAGGGGTCCTTGGTGTCTCCAGGGGCCCTAGGGGTCACAAAAGTCATATGGTGTCCCAGAGATCCTAGTCTCCCAAGGTAAGGGATTCTGAGTGGTGCAAGGTTCACCTAGCATTACTGTAGATGGTTCTTAGCCGGGTCATTTAAATGTGATACTGGTGCAGGTACAGACACATTGTGGAACCAGTATATGTCCAGTATTTGCCAATAGTACATAATAAACAGCCAGTACATGTCCAGTACTTGCCAACAGTATGTAACAGAGAGGCAGTTCACGCGTACAATGCATAACAGACATGACCGACCGACCAAAAGGCTAACGGACCGATTAGTTACAAAGAGGATAAAGTGAATTATTATCAAAATATATGTTTTACTTAACACACATCTGGCCACAAAGTATAATGTTACGATATAACGTAATAAAAAATTACAATATTTAAGGTAGTGTTTGCGGACAAAAAAGAGTGCGTGAAATTTATGTTAGTGTCTTCTGAAGAGTGAAAATTTCATCAAGTTCCCCTAGAAGTTGTATAGAAAAGGAAAAATGAGATACTTTAGCCATATAATTAGGGATAAGGGAATAACAAATATTAATGCGTAAAGTTGATGGGAGGAGAGCTGGAAAAAGGCAGAGACCGAGTCACCAGAGACAAAAAATAAAAATCTTGGAGATAGGTAAAAACATCCCGAGTACGTTTAGAGTGGAGAACTGTGGTCACCGACCAGCAAATACCAGTACAGTACTCTGATACAGTTCTGTCACATATGTTAATGTTTTAATGCTATTAAATAGCATTTAAAGAAATTTTACGAGTTGAAAAATAACAATACAAACACTTAAACCTGTCTTAAATATACATAAAACTTTTCACTAATATATATAACCTGTAGTTTTTTATGCTACTTTTCTTACTTGCAAAGAGATTGTAAATTTACTGACATTTGTTAATTAATTTAATTTTATTTACAATTTATGATTAATTGAAACATAAACATAATTGATAAATCTATTGAGTAATTAACATTATTTTGTGTATATTTATTTTTATTAAAAATTGATAATAGTTTACCATTAAAAATGCTTGTTTTCTGTTCGTATAAAGAAAATGGTCAATATTTTCTATGGTAAACATGATTAAATTTTCATTTTTTAGGGCCTAGGGGCGACTGCACCCACAGAGGCTTTCTTTAAGGGTAGCGGTGCCTGCAGGGGGTCCTCTTTAGGGGCGGCTGCTACCCCAAAGGCCCGGCCAGGGTCGGTGGTGCCCCTAGGAGGCCTCCCAGAGGCGGTGGCGCCCCCACGGACCTTTTCAGGAGTGGCTGCGCCACAAGGGACCCTCCAAGAGGCAGCGGCGCACTCAGGAACTTTCTCAGGAGCGACTGCGCCCCCAGGGACCCTCTTAAGGGCAGCAGGGCCCCCAGCGACCCTCCCAGGAGCAGTATCGCACTCACCAACCCTCCCAGGGTCAGAGGTGCCCCCAGGGACCCCCTTAGGGACGGCGGCGCCCCCAGAGATCCTCCTAAGGGCGGCGACGCCCCCAGGAACCCTTCCAGGGGTGGTGGCACCCCTATGGACCCTCCCAGGGGAGGCAGCGCCCCCATGGACCCTCTCAAAGACGGCGGCGCCCCAGGGACCCTCCCAGGAGCTGTATCAGCCCCACAGACCCTCCCAGGGACGGCGGCGACCCCCGGGGCCCTCTCAGAGGCGTCGGCGACCCCATGGGCTCTCTCAGAAGCGGCGGCGACCATTGGAGCACTGCCCTTTTAGGGTACCCTGGGAGCAGTTGTTTTTGCCCTATTCAGAGCAATGGGAGATATGATGTTAAATAAATACACCGCCCATCGCATTTCCAGTATCATGATGAACAATGTCAAGGAGAATAAATAACCAAACGGAAAACATAAGTTGGGGTGTTGTACTGACTAACCGCTTTGTTCTCCTATTGGCTGTAATTTGGTGAATTTACATTTGAGTCCACATATCATAGATAAGTAAGGTTTTGCTGGATGTATGCAATATGTGCGACACCACCACCAAGCCGACGGCCCTGGTTGGGCCCCAGGCGTTGCTAACGCCCCTGGGAGGGCCCACCAGTTGGCCCCTGGGGGCACTGCTGCCCCTCTAAAGGCCCCTGGGCCGCCACCGACCCTGGCTGGGCCCCTGGGGGTGCCGCCGCCCCTGGGAGGTCACCTGTAGTAAACGCCGCCACTACGAGGGCCTCTGGGGTCGCTGCAGCATGAGAGAGGGCCCCTGAGGGCGCCGCCGCCCTTGAGAGACCCTCTGTGGTAACCGTCGCCACTGGGAGGGCCCACGGGGTCTCTGTCGCCCAATGGAGGCCCCCTGGGATCGCTGCAGCCCCTAAATGCGCTACCACATCTGGGAGGGCCCCTGGGAGGATTCCTGTAGTCACCACCGCCACTGGGAGGGTCCTTGGGGACGCCGAACTCCCTGGGAGAACCCCAGGGGTCGCCGCTGCCCCAGGGAGGACCCCTGGGATCGCCGCCGTACCTGGTAGGGCCCCTAGGGTCGCCATCACCCTTGTGAGGAACCCTGGGGGCTCCTAGGGGCATCAACGTCCCCGAGAAGACCCCTGGGGGCGCCGCCTCCATTGGGAAGGCCCCTGGGAGTTTCGTCACCCCTGGGGTCGCCGCCACCCTTGAAAGAGCCCCTGGGGTCTCTACCGCCCCTATAAGGGCCCCAGGGGTCGCCACCGGCCCAGGGAGGGCCCCTAGAGTCGCCGCCATACCTGGTACGGCCCCTAGGGTCACCACCACCTCTGTGAGGAACCCTGGGAGGGCCCCTTGGGGCATCAACGCCCCCGAGAAGAACCCTGGGGTCGCCGCTTCCCTTGGGAGGGCCCCTGGGAGTTTCGCCACCCCTGAGAGGGCCCCTGGCAGGACCTCTGGGGTCGCTGCCACTCTTTGTAGGGCCCCGGTAGGCCCCTGGGTTCGCTGCCGCTCCTGGAGTCACTACCGCCTATCCTGGGAGGGTCCTTTGAAGGACCCCACAGGTCGCTGCCACCCAAGTTGGCCCCTGGGGTCACCGACCACCCTGGAAGGGCCCCTGGGGTTGCCGATGCCCCTGGGTTGGTCCCTGGGATTGCCGATGCCCCTGGGTTGGTCCCTGGGATTGCCGATGCCCCTGGGTTGGTCCCTGGGATTGCCGATGACCCTGGGTTGGCCTCTAGGGTCACTGATGCTCCTAATGGCCAGATGTGTATTAAGTAAAAAATATATTTTGATTATAATTTACCGGTACTTATCCTATTTGCCACTGATTGGTCTGTTAGCCTTTTGGGCAGTCAGTCATGTCTCTGCTGGCAAGTATTGGGCATGTACTGCCTCTTTGTTACACACTGTTGGCAAGTATTGGGCATGTACTACCTCTTTGTTACACACTGCTGGCAAGTATTGGGCATGTACTGCCTCTTTGTTACACACTGTTGGCAAGTATTGGGTATGTACTGCCTCTTTGTTATACACTGTTGGCAAGTATTGGGCATGTACTACCTCTTTGTTACACACTGTTGGCAAGTATTGGGTATGTACTGCCTCTCTGCTGCACACTGCTGGCAAGTATTGGGTATGTACTACCTCTCTGCTACACACTGCTGGCAGGTATTGGGCATGTACTGCCTCTCTGCTGCACACTGCTGGCAAGTATTGGGCATGTACTACCTCTCTGCTACACACTGCTGGCAAGTATTGGGCATGTACTACCTCTCTGCTACACACTGCTGGCAAGTATTGGGCATGTACTACCTCTCTGCTACACACTGCTGGCAAGTATTGGGCATGTACTACCTCTCTGCTACACACTGCTGGCAAGTATTGGGCATGTACTACCTCTCTGCTACACACTGCTGGCAAGTATTGGGCATGTACTGCCTCTTTGTTACACACTGTTGGCAAGTAATGGGCATCTACTGCCTCTCTGTTAAACACTGTTGGCAAGTACTGACTCTGGGATGTATCTGTACCTGGGCCAGTGTTGGTCAAGTCTGGTCTTGAATGAGCTCACACTCTGTGCCGTCACAACGCTCTCCAGCAAATTGATGCAATATTTCACAACTCTCACTCCAAAAAAGTATTTCCTAACAATTTACTATTTAACTATCCACAAACTTAACTATTTGTTTTGTGTTCATATTGGATGTTTTATGGAATTTCTGTATACAATTTTTTTTTACTTTCATTACATTTATATCATAGCATTTGTTATTTCCTATTCAATGACATTAAAAAAATAACATACAATAGATGTAGAAACATGATTTTATTTCCTTACAATTACATCACACAATGACAACTGCATGAAATTAAAATATTTTACCATTCATTGGTCTGTTACAGCAGTATTCAAAATTATGGCAACACTTATTGCACAACTAGGTAGCTTGGCTCTACATGTCACGATTAAGTAAAACCATGAAAAATGAAGAAGTAATATATCACATACAAGCATAATGGTCCAGATTTTTACAAACAATTCCACATTTAAGGAACATCAAAGATAGAATTTTTTTTGTTCACTATGAGAAACGAAATACTCTTATAAATAATTAAAAAATAATTGTGAATTGCATCTATTTCTTACAGTAATTTGCACAATTTTAGGAAACAATAATAGTAACTCGGGATATAATTTGATCAAAAATAAATTTACCGTTTAAAGTTGATAAAAATCAGATACTAACACCAATACTATGCTGTACAGTAAGGAGTCTTGCCCAGTGCTTTACAATTATCACTATACAGTATTATCAACCGACCAGGAATCTGGACTGAATTTATATAAACTATCTGAGTATAAGTATAGAGTATAAATCAATGTGGTGTGCGGCTGTCAACACAATATACAGTCATCTCATTCACTGGTAATGAATCCATCTGTTCACTATTGTTTACTCTCTTGGTAGTGTTAAACTGTGTGTTGGTCTTTACATTTGTATAAATGGTTCATACTGTATAACTTCACATTAACAACAACAAAAAGTACAAAAAAATGGTGTTTTCAGGCAACCTTGGTATAGCACAAAAATAAACTAAACGCACTGTATTCCTTGTAAAAAAAATGTAATCCTAGACATATTTTCTTGTGGGTGATAACTATTTTACTTGAAAGTTTGCACAATAACTAAAATACCATTAATAATAACAATAATAAAAATGTAATACAAAATCATTTAATTTATAATATAATAAATACTACCAACTTCTCCCCAATACTATCCCAAATGTAACCTTCGCATGAGGTCACAAAGCTTTGGAACAGACCAGAGATCTAGTTATTTACAATATCCACCAACTCATAACCTTATCATGAAAATCCTGTTGAATTTGACAGGAAACAGGCACAACAACCACCTGTGCTGACTCACAATGAGTAACTGTACATTTTTCACTCCTTGGCAACATAATGCCTACACTGATCCTAGTTCAAACATGTACACACTCAGGATAATATAATCGTAACCGATACATTACAACTATTGTACTATAATGTACCTTTTGACAACTCCGCTGAAATGGGTTCATTCTGCAGTATTATAGCATGAAATCATACAGAAAATTATGAGCATTTTCATGGCAACTGAATCTCCTTTTGCCTTACTGCTTACAATACCTCTTTTGATTGGCACAGTTTTAATAAAATATCCCAGTAGTATGCAAGTACCTGATGAAAGTGCCAGCCTGTATCTAAACTGCATGAAAAACTCTTACATCAATATCAACTGAGTAATATCATAACAAATTGCTGGGTTTTTTTTCAGGTGTTCTTTTTAGAAAAAAAAATTGTGCAAAAATTAAGAAATCTGATTTGGGAAAACATCTAGCAAGGTGTGTGGCACATTTTGTTCAACATGAAGTACCGGTAGGTACCACTAGGACCTTTGAGTCATGGGTCGAGGTTAGTATTTACCAAAATTGTTAACATGACCACTGTACCTAACCTTGTCATTTTCATGAACTTCATTGAGATATGTTCCCAACATCATGGCTCTACACCTGAATTTACAATCCCATTCTTGGTGAAGTATTGGATCGAGGCAATTCCTTGAGATTGTACAAATCTAATAATGAAGGTTTAATAATTACCTGTACAGTATTACTAATTTGGGGATCAGGGGTAAATATCCAGCCCACTAAATGATTCCTAATCAATAATGTCTTTGAAAGCTGTTTCTCAATTTCACAAAAGTTCAGATGATTTTTATGGCCAACAGACACTTGAGGTGTAGTCAATAAAGTGCTCTAGTGAGATGCAAGATAAACGGTACAGTAGCAAAATTTAACAAAACAATCTTTGATGATTGATAAAACTGTCATTTAAGACTTGTAGCAACATTACTGTGTAATTACTTAAAGTTAAATTGAGGAAATGCTGAATAACTTTATAAGGGCACCCTATAACACCCTGCTTTACATAAGATACACTGTACTGCACTGTAAAGTTAATTCTTTTTTTAAGATTGGAAATTAACAATTTACTTCGGGGAGCAACTTGCTTCAGTCAAAGAATTCTGCTGCTTAAGAGCACTACTCATAGCTTTTGTAATCAATTCCATTACATATTTTTATTGAGCAACTGTATTTATACTTTTCAGTTTATGTTCTACAGCAGTAACATGAATCTTAAAACAATTACTGTACTGGATAAACAGGCAAACATTCTATTATCAATGTGAGTTTTGTCATAACGTAGTTGGCTCAGACACCAAACCTGCAGTGTGAAGGACCCTTTCCAGTCTACCTGTATTTCATATTGTTGCTGGATGGACATAACAAGACACTTATCTCTATGTTGAAATGAAAATCATTAAATCCAAATTTGATGTTCCTGAATGATGTGTTTTATGAAAAGTCATGGAAGAAAAATATGAGATCCCTTCTTGTAATACAATGAAAAATTGTTTCATGGGGGAAATAACCAATATTTCCTTCAGGTATGAAAAGTTAACATTGCCTAGACACAATATTTTCATACATCTTACACTGAAAGTCCTTTGAGTATTTAGTTATCTCACCGGTAACAACAGAGGGACTAATACATCCTACTAGTTTTCCTACTTTCATCTTATAATGCCACATTCTCATAAAAATTTTACCTTTCAACTTTGGACGGTATTCAAAAAACCATAACAGGCACAGACTAATTTGTGTGATATTAGCGTTAACCTTGTGACGAGTGCAACCTGTATTTAACATACATACACAAACTTTTGCATCAATAAATAGCCAAAGCAAATTGACGAATATCCCTGCTACCTCACTACATACTCCTACTGAGCTAACTATAGCCCTGATAAATTTTACAAACTTCTTCAACAGTCTATATACTGTACTGTAAATATGATTATTGAGCTATATCAATTTTGATTAGTTTTAACATCTTATAACTTGACTTCAGTGCTGATTAATAATTGAAGCACATTTGTAGCATAGAAGTTACAGCAAACAAGGAGGTTAACTAAATTTTACTAAAATTTATAGAACAGATTGCTGCTTAAGACAATGATGGTGAGAGCAAGATGATTTAATTGCCTAAACATTTGTACTGTATACTGTAACCATATAGAACAAAAGTGATCATACTCACACCTAAAACATGTTGTTATTTTCATGCCTCAATGTCACTTAAGGATGCCGTAACTGGACACTTATTGGTACAGTATTATGGACTGAAACTCACAAGTGAAACCAGCATATTTTCTCCACCCAGTTCATCCTCAACCTGTGTGTGGACACAAGCATGGCTACTGTACCAAACTGATGGTCTCACAAAAACAAAATAAATACTACAGTCCTGCTGAATATTTGAGCACAACAGCTGTCACTCACTTGGTGTTTAACTTTTGACCAACATTTGATGCAAGTTAAGAAATTAACTCTTCATAAATTGTTGAGTTTAATTTATTCTCCTCTATAAGCTTATTGCCAGTATGATACAGGGTGGCCCAGTCACTTAATCTCCAGACCAACAGTGTGACTGGTAAAGGACATTACGCACAACACATTTGGTAACCTAATGTATTATGAGTAATTTCTAACCATAAGCCATAATTATAAAATCCTGTCTTTGCAGTACAGTTATAGGCAAACCTAATGAAAGTATGAGTGATCAGTGCACTCATACTATATATGTATTATTATCCAAAGGCATCTTTCTAGGTATGAACACCTACTTTACTCTCTGATCCACAACAACATACAAGAATGGCTATTACAGTACAGCATACTTGGATCCCATCACCTGTACATAGCCATTCGCTATTTCTGTATTTACTGCAATAACATTTTTTTATTATGTGACAGGACACAGGTGAAGTTATGAAAAGGGGAGGGGCATATACGAGTCCACACTGATTTGTTTTTTCACTGATCCCTCTCTCTTAACTAATGCCATGAATGACATCACCCCAAATAAGACTCAAGAGCAATCAATAAAATTGTCTAATTTCTTTTTCCTAATACCTTAAAACATAGTAAGTGAGTGACCCACACACAAAGAGATTTATACATGCAATCTGATCCTAACCAGCATTAAGTTGTACAATACTGTACTACCACTTGTAATTTTCCAATGTTGTAGAACAGCCTCTGTCCATAAATTTGTGCAAATTATCTTGAACAATTATTTGAGATGAAGTATTCATTATTGTATCCAACCAAAGTACTGTACATGGACAAAACAAAACTTGAGGTGCATACAAAGGTGCTCCATCATACTGTACTGTGATGACTAGAACTCACAGCTGAAGTGAACAATTTGGAATATGGCTTAAAATATCTCATGTAAATGACATAAGAATCTGAAACAGACTTGAGTTTGAAAGCCCCCAATTTATAAGGCTGTTATCACATTGTGTGATGCAGGAAATACAGAGGTCACTGCACAAGAAACTAAATAGCAATGGCATACTTTAACGTAACAAAATGGGACACAAGAGTACAAATGCTGTTAGGTTAGGTTAGGTTATGAGATAACTTGACAATTAGAATGTGAGGGGCAAGTGTGTAGTTGGAGCAAGAGACACATGAGTTATGCTGCTGTGATGGGATACATGTAGTAAACACCAGCTGGACTCAGGAAACTGAAGAGATGCGGTCGTTGGGTGCACCCATCTGTGTCAGCACCTTGTCCAGCCACTGCAAAGGTCCATGAAGGTGGATCTCAATCCAGCATGGTGTGCTGGTGACATCCTGTCGGTGATATTCTGCTCCCCAACCTTTTACAAATGACATCCTGGAAAAAGAATAAAAAAAAAAAAAAGAGCATTAAAAACATCATTTCACTTAACTATTCTCAATAACAATACTTGCAAACAAATATTATGGTCAATACTGTATACGTGTGGCAGATTTTGTAAGCTGAATTATACATCAACAACTTTACTTTATAAATGTAACAGTTTGCTCAGTCATTATGTAAAGTCGCATAATAAAGTTCAAATTTTACTTGTTACTTATAAAGTTTTCTACCTGATTGTACACATTTTAGTGAGGTCAAACACTGCTTCATAGCCATGGTTGACACTCTGAGAGAGAAGCTGGGCAAACTCTTGGTTATTGAAGATCTTGAGTGAACATCCAGGAGGAATTTTGCATACAGTAGATGGGTGGAAGCCATGATGGTGATTACAGTTTCGAGACTGGACGAAGATAGCAGAGTCGGACAAACATTCTGCATACACTTCCCCGCCTACGTAGTAGAGGTGGACTCCTGCAAGGGCCAAGTTAATTAATTTACAACATTCTTAATAAGTCACTTGCCTGTCCAGTTGGTGGTGCACAAGCAGACAATCATCATCTAATTACTTTATCTCACAGTCTGAAGTTGTATTAAGAGATTAATTAACATAAACCCCTAATATACGAGATCCGACACTCACAGTAAGTTTGAGAACTCGCCGCGTGGCTCAACAGGCGACAGCACTGTATCGAGTGTGAGTGGCATGCACATGACCTTGATCCCTTCTCTTACTTCCCCTAGTTGTGTTGCCGATCTCGAGCAAGTCGGACATGTGCAGTGGCAGTTATTGTATTAAGAGTGTTTTGTCACGATAATGGCAGATATTATTTTAGAACAAAGAATGAATATCAAGTTTCTCATGAAACTGGGGAAAACTGGGCCTGAAATTTGGAAAATGTTAACCCAAGTTTATGGGGATAATGCACTAAAGAAAACATCAGTTTACAAGTGCATTAAGAGATTTTCTGAGGGAAGAGAACACGTGACAGACTATGACAGAGAAGGACGACCAACAACGAGCAGGACTAAGGAAAACAGCGAAAAAATTTGTTCCCCCAGGGCAGAGTGTGAACCAGTTTTACTATCTCAACATGCTTAAAAGATTCGCAGAAAAAGTTAGACAACGCCCAGAACTTTTTGCTGGAAACAAGTGGATCATCCATCATGACAATGCTCCAGCACACACGGCATTGGTTGAGCGGCAGATTTTGGCCGAGAAACAAATTATCTTACTGGAACACCCTCCTTCCTGGCTCCATGTGACTTTTTTCTATTTCCTTCTCTGAAGATACACATCAAGGGGAGGCATTTTCAAGATGTGGATGACATTCAGAGTAGCACGACAGCAGCTATAAAAAGCCATTCAGAAAGTGAATTCCAGAAGAGTTTCCAGGGGTGGAAGAAACGTTTGTGTATAGCAACGTAAGGGGAAGACTTTGAAGGGAACCACAGTGCCGATCCTCAGTAAAGTACTGTATGTACTGGCGCCTGTAGCTAGTGTTCAAGAACTTAATTGTCAAACTATGTACAGATCTTACAGCTCACACACCATGAAAAAGTTAATAATCTCTTTTTTGTTTCTTTATCATGTGAGGAAAAATTCAGTTTAATAATCATGTAAGGAGAGCCAAAGGCCACACACCGATCAGTGACAAGACAATTTAATCGACAATGCCCACATGCCTGGGTGATGCCAATTAAATTATTTTGACCAGAATGTAGCAGCTGGCTATCCTTATATGAATTATAAACACAGACTTTCCTCCAGTGTTAATACCTCTGTCATCTTCGTAAGTTTGTTGTGATTCCCTCACCTGAAAAGGGGAAAAAAGAGGAAACACTAATTCTCCTACAGTATTTCGTGTGGTACAGTAAAATATAAACACATTAAAGGTAAATAACCTACCTTTACCAATGTGTCTTCTTGTGTTTTCAATAGTAGAATTGCGGTTAACATTGGAGAGTAAGCCTAAGCAAAATCTCTCTGAATTGTTACTGGGATCTGTGAAGCCATCAACAATGACTGAATGTGTCTGGGCATGAAACACTTCGCCTACTCTGTTGTTCAGCTCATAGTACGCTATACTGGACCAAAAGGTGGGTTCCTGAAAGGACACACATTATTAGTACATATAATTCTGTTAATTAATCATTATGAATCATATTTCAACCATAATATTTTACTTAAAAATATATACGTACCTATATTATCAAATATTAAGGACAACACACACACACACACACATATTAAAATGTTACAATAATTACTTGGTAGGTGACAGGTGTAACGTTTGGATTTATAATGGTACCAACAGGAACAGTGTCCATGGGAGTATCTGCCGTCTGGTTCTGTTTTATGTCTTCACTCGGGCTATATGCTGGTGGCGGAGTATCTGCTTTGAGGGGGAAAAACTCATAGTTAATGCACAAACAACATCCATTCTTGAAAACACGATATCTTACAAAATAAATTACTATTAGAAAAACAATTTATATGAGTATAATACTGTACTTAAATTACTTGAAGATTAGCTGCCCCAGCTTATTTCACCTGATGATTAAACACCCCAACTCTACCTATGGGAGGAGGGGGGTGAAGGTTACTGGTAGGCTTAGGTTGGGTTAGCATTAAGGTGGTTAATCTGAAGGTGAAATAAACTTAATCTGGGGGGGGGTGGGGGGGGGCTAATTTTCAAGTAATCCCAAGGTCATTACAGTAATATTTAAATGTCACACAATGGAATATTCTTCAAAAAGAAGCTTAAGTATTGTGTACTGACCCGGGATACTGCCATAAGGACTGTGGGGGCTCTGGCTGGCAGGACTGACAACTGGAGATGGAGGTTGGTTCAGGCCACTTAAACTCCCACCACCTAGAGAGAGAAAGAAATTGATTGAATTTGACAGCTTATCTTCTATACAGGGAGACCATGACTCATTAACTCCCGCCGGTATGAACGACGTTAAACTTTAAAATTACAGTACAGGTATTTTATTTTTCTAATGACTTATTTTTTACTTTCATTTACTGTAGTTCGTCATTCTATTTCTTCTTTTTTCTTATATTAAGTGATTTTAGATGTATATAAGGACTTAAGCTATGATATAAAGGGATTTTAAGCATTGTTATGTAAGTACTGTATGTCCATAGCATGTGTCCCAACTTGCATTCATTTTCAACTTGAGAATGTCCTCAGGAACGGAACTCGTTCATAACCCGGGGACCCTGTGCTGTAAAACCTGCCATTACTGGAACATCTATTTAGTGCATTACTCCCATTAGTGGACAGGCCTAGCTACACTAATGTTGTTTGTTAAGAAGGAACCATGAGGGGGTAAGATCTTCTCTCTTAATCCAGCATTATGTCTGAGTCTTAAGGAACCATGAGGGGGTAAGATCTTCTCTCTTAGTCCAGCATTATGTCTGTGTCTTAAGGAACCATGAGGGGGTAATATCTTCTCTCGTAGTCCAGCATTATATCTAAGTCTTAAGTCTACCATTGCTGTCTGCTGATGGAAGCTGTCATGGGTAAAATCCCTTATATGTGTGTGTGTGTTAGAGGACTTTTCCATGATCAGTAATTAAAGGTTCACATGGCATATGATGTGTTTCAGCTCTCCCAACCACAGTTCACTTACTTGTAATACTTCCATATGGACTGTGTGGGCTCTGGCTGGTGGGGCTGACAACACTGCCCACTGGTGAGGGAGGCTGGTTGATACTGGTCAGATTCCCTGCCCCTATCTGTGAGTGTGATACTCCACCCATCGAGGAATGGACAAAGCCATTCTGGGAGAAGGAGACGTTGTTGGGCATGGGCTCTGGCATTTGCTGTTGGAACGTCAGGAGCGAGTGCCCGGGGGCGAACTCGGAGTGTCGAGGAACTAACACTGGCGGCAAAACTGAAAATAAAATACCAAAATTAATGGAATTATAGATAAGAACTAAAAATGATGATCAATCTATTGATTTATACATAGAGTATGTATACATCTAGCAGAGTATCTGCTTAAGCCACATTATGCTGTACTGTAGTCACCCAAAATGGAATTTGTATCTTAAAACACTTTAACACAAAACTATAGATAAAATACATAAACAGAGATGTAACTGGTCCTAACAGTTATAAAGTACTACAGTAACATATACTGAAGGATGACAATACCGTACAGTACAGTGCTTTAAACTCAATACCTTCCTCAAGACTGTACAACCAATTTATATTCTTATTAACTAGGAAGTCCTAGGTTAATGTCGTGGTTACGTTCTTGTAAAACACAACGTCAACAGAAACAACATTAGTGGAATAAATTTTCCCTGTAAGAAATAGATAAAATACGCGAGTTACATTCCCCAGCCTCCCTTTGCCCCATAAAATACACTACATATGCATAAATTCAATGGAATTTTTATAGAAAACCACAGAACTTCGAGCACGACTTGTCTTTGTTGCACTCATAGAAGTACCACTTCCAGCACTAGCCTTAGTGTTGTCTGTGCTGGTCCTGATAGTACGCACTGTTGTGGGGGTTAAGCCTAACGCTACACCAATGTCCACAGCACGTTCACCTTTCTCAAACGGTTTAAAACCTCCATTTTCGTAGCAAGGCTAATGGTCTTGCATTGCTTCTTCACAAAACTAGCATCACTAACACTTGATGGGCGCTTGGGAGCCATTTCGAATGCTTACAGTACAGTATTTATAGCAAAAACACTTAAGCATGGAAACGCTGCGGAAGCTTAACAAAGACTGGGGAGAAAACGCTTGGGGACGATCCATGAGAGAGCGTAGCACGCCAAGATGAGAGAGGGTGGCGCGCCATACAAAGTAGTCCATGTTGAGTCACAACGTTATAACAAATCGGTCGGGTTGTTAAACAACGTTGTCGGAATCATGGGTATCTAAAGAGTAGGAACGTTATAACGAAACAACTTTGTCTAGGCCAACGTTAAGCGAGGACTTATTGTACCATAATCTTCTTATAAATTGACAATTAAAATAAAAAAATTATAAATTTAGTAACACTTCCATCAATGCAGTTTACTTTTCTAGTTATCTCTTGATTTCTAACATCCTAAATTTCTTAAAAATATATATATACTATACTATATAAACTTTGTGACAGCGATGAGCCTTTTCTCTTCTTATGATAGTCACCTTGAGGTGGAAGCCCACACTTACACATACAAATCTTCACAATGCTGCGGAAGAGATAACAGGATACGTACTATATAGATAGATAGACAGACACACACACACACTCACTCAAGGAACAGCAAATGAGCACTCACCAGGACTTTCCACTCTCTTGTAGTGATAGGGGTTGATGCACACCTCCTTCTGCTTGGCTGAGAAAGGATACTGACAGTGCTCGAGGGGTTTCAGTTCGTGGTGGCTCTGTAGGTCGGGCCACCGCCACACTCGGCAGTATATAACGTGCGGTAGGCCCTTACGGTGAGAAACCTGCAAGGAAGAGTATGCAAGACATTACATTGGACTCCACACTGACACAATGCAAAAATTATCAAGCCACTTTACTTTTCAATTGTTTACGGTATGAAGCAAGTATTTCCCTTCATTGGCAGAGATTATCACACATCATCACAGTGATAAAAGAGATAATTAAGTGGCCATAAGGTGAAGCAGGAGTATGAAGGGATAGGTACCTGTATTACCACCACCACCACCTCATCATTATCACACTACATCAACCCTACTAACACATTAAAGATGATGGTATTTTTACTATGCTGTATTATAATACTGTACTGTACTGTACAAAGTCTTCCTAACCTGGTAAAAAGATGATTAAAACATCCTTATTCTAACCTACCTTAACCAAACCTAACCTCACCTAATTGCCCCTCACCCCCCCCCCCAAAGTTAACAATAGAGGGTTTAAATCATCAGGTGAAATATGTTGGGGGAGGAAGAGGCTGTACCTTCATGTGGTCCATTGACTCGTCATCTTAATAGTACTGACGGTGAGTGATGATCTATTACAATCATCCCTAAACTAATGTAAAATACACAACAGCATTCAGAATAACTTACAGTGAGAAACAAAAAAATGCAACATTTGTTCACTTGTGTGATATAAAGGGAAAAAGACTCGAGCAGTACAATACAGTCAAGCATTATAATAACAGACGGGAATAAAAGAAAAAGACAAATGGATGTAACTCTTCATTACCCCATGCATGTTGTCTCTCCTCAGTACTGTACACATACCCTAGCCTCTTACATAATGATATAGATCTCCATTAGATAAACCCCTTAACTTCCAATTCTGAGAGAAAACTTTATTTTGGTCAAAAAATTACTATGGTATAAGGCTTTAAGGCATACATTTTTGATAATTTGGTCCCAAATTTAGGCTTTGTTGAAAATCTCAGTACTGTATAGGCACTCCTGCACATGCCGATTCCAAATCTATGGTTCAAGATTCAATTGCAGGGAAATTAGTGATTGTAATAATGCTTGGAATATTATAAAGACATTTTTCAATGCTAATTACTCGCCAACTATAAGTTCTGAGGTGCGATTTTGGTGTTTTTGTGTTATTCTGGAAGTACTTGTTCATAAATACTCAATGTTATATTTACAGTACTGTACAGTACATATAATATACATTAAGTGTCTATACGTATACAGTACATGCAAGATCTTCACCGTCACTAGATAATACATAGTACTGCACGGAATACTTGCCAAGAGTATACATTAACTCAGTGTTGAATACATATAACCCACAATAAACTTGTATAGGTCGCAAAAACCACAGTGATGCTAATGTTCTTTCACCCCAATTTCTTTTATTCTTTTTCAGGTCAACAAAAACACAGAGATTTTACAATTCTCTCATCTACAGGTACAGTAATTTGCTATAATTCCTGATAAAAAAACCCATATGGAGTGAGTCTTATGAGACACCCTGTACAATATCCACACCACTACAACACTACACACAGTCTACCCAACACCACATAGTATACTAACCTAACCTAACTAAATCAGATGACATCTTAGCCAAACAAAACCTTTACCTTAGCAGCAAGACAACTACCAATTGCCAACGAAGGGCCATCTTAAATCAGCAGGGCCACTGACAGACAGGTTGGGTAGCACACACACACACACACACACACACACACACACACACACACACACACACACCCCATCACCCTCAACAACAAAGATCCATGAAGAACAAACCAGCTAAAATCTCGAGACTGTCAGCTTGCACGGTCTAATTGTTGCTGTTAGCATGTGAGGGGGTGGGTGATGGGTGAGTGTGAGACTGGTGTGAGACTGGGTGTGTGAGAGGTGTGTGAGGTGTGAGGTGGTGAGGCTGGGTGTGTGAGGGGCTGGGTGTGTGAGGGGGTGGGTGTGTGAGGGGTGGGGTGTGTGAGGGGTGGGTGTGTGAGGGTGGGTGTGTGAGGGGTGGGTGTGTGGGGGTGGGGTGTGTGGGGGGTGGGTGTGTGAGGTGGGTGTGGGGGTGGGTGTGTGGGGGTGGGTGTGTGAGGGGGTGGGTGTGGGGGGTGGGTGTGGGGGGTGGGTGTGTGGGGGGGGTGGGTGTGGGGGTGGGTGTGTGAGGGGGTGGGTGTGTGAGGGGGTGGGTGTGTGTGTGGGGTGGGTGTGTGAGGGGTGGTGTGTGAGGGTGGGTGTGTGAGGGGTGGGCAGGACCAGAGCCTCACCCTCAGCGGGTCCTTGATAACAGGTGTCTTCTCCTCCCCACAGCTGTGTTCTGATAGTTCTTGCTCAACCCCACCTGCTCTCTCCCTTCCTCAGCCTCCCAGTGAGAGGAAGGGAGAGAAGCTGTGTAACACGACCCATGATCACTACAACACAGTGAGAGGCACACCGTGGGACTCTCTCTCTCTCTTACACACACATGCTCTGCTCTGTCAAATGTGAAAGGAGAGAGAGAGAGAGTAAACAACAGGTGCCTGCCGTACCCACACTTTATACCCAGGTCAGGTCAGACATGTCTGCCCATACCCTTCCTCAGACTCCACGCCCACACTCACAGTCACGCCCATATATCTGAATGTAGAGAAAGGGAGGGGAGAAAGGGAGGTGGGGAGGGGGAGAAAGGGAGGTGGGGAGGGGGGAGAAAAGGTGGGAGGGGGAAAGGGAGGTGGGAGGGGAGGGAGGTGGGGAGGTGGGAGGAGGTGGGAGGAAAGGTGGGGGAGGGGAGAAAGGGCGGTGGGGAGGGGTGGAGGGGGGAGAAAGGCGGGGAGGGGGAGAAAGGGCGGTGGGGGGGAGAAAGGGCGGTGGGGGAGGGGAGAAAGGGAGGAGGGGGGAGAAAGGAGGTGGGGAGGGAGAAAGGGAGGTGGGGAGGGGGAGAAAGGAGGTGGGGAGAGGAGAAAGGGAGGTGGGGAGGGGGGAGAGAGGTGGGGGAGGGGAAAAGGGGAGGAGGAGGTGGGGAGGGGGAGAAAGGGCGGTGGGGGAGGGGGAGGGGAGAAAGGGAGGTGGGGGAGGGGGAAAGGGAGGTGGGGAGGGATAAAGGAGGTGGGGAGAGGGAGGGAGATAGGGAGAAAGAAGAAAGGTGAAAGGAAAGAGGCAGAGAATGAGGGTGATGACAAAACGAAGGAAAAGGAAGAAAAGAAGAAGGAAGAAGGGGGGAACTGGGTATGAGCTTAGTATCAGGTAAACAACTTATATCAGGGTCCTCACATTTGACTTCCTCCTTCTCTACCGGCTTAACTTATCGGCACACACACACACACACACACACACACACACACACACACACACACACACAGGGATGAAAGTATTTGCAGCAGTAAGATCCATCTGCAGGCATTGGTGATGAATGAGGGAAGAAGGGTACAAGAAGAGGGGGAAGGAGAGAGGAAGGAAGGAGGAAGGAGAGGGGAGGAAGAGAGGGGGAGGGAAGGAGAGGGGAGGAGAGGGGAGGGAAGGAGAGGGAGGGAAGGAGAGGGGGAGGGGAAGGAGAGGAGGGAAGGAGAGGGGAGGGAAGGAGAGGGGAGGAAGGAGAGGGGAGGAAGGAAGGGGGAGAAGGAAGGAGGAAGGAGGAAGGGAAGGGGGGAGGGGGGAGGGAGGAGGAAGGGAAGGAGGGGTCGCATTGCACTCTCATTTAAAATCCTCTAGTGACCCCCCACAATCTGACACCCACACCATCCCTTCAACTCAGCAAACTCATATAACGGACTGACTTCCCTCTATATATAACGAACTTCCCTCTCCTCATGAGGCTTTCTCTCTGAACTTTCTACTGCATTACTGTATATTTCACACAATATTAAACTTTATTTAAATCATCAACTTTCCTTTGTAATTCCATCATCAATTTTCTTCATATCTTTCAATTATCAACTTTCTATATCCTGTGGTTCTATTACAAACTCTCTAAACACTTTCATCAACTTTCTAAATAGCATCATTAACTTTCTAATAGACTCCATCAATCATCACTTTTTATTTACTAAACTTCATTAGCTTTCTATTATTATTTCCTACTCAACTTCAATGGCTTTCTAACAAGACATTCATATAAATTTTCAAATGGCTTTCTTTTGAGGATTAAAATCATTGTGTTTGAGAGAGAGAGAGACTGTGTGTGTGTGTGTGTGTGTGTGTGTGTGTGTGTGCGTGCGTGTGTGTGTGTGTGCGTAAATTCACCATAGACCAAAGTTCCTGATCAAGTTCCTAATTCAGTTCTGTTTGACACTGTCCAATTAAGATCAATATTGCAGAGCCTTACTGTGGGTTAGGTTGGTGGGGTGGGTTGGGTTAGGTTGGTGGGGTGGGTTGGGTTAGGTTGGTGGGGTGGGTTGGGTTAGGTTAGTGGGGTGGGTTAAATTTAGGGGTTTAATCATCTGGTGAACTTAGCTGGGGTGACTATTCTTCAGGTAATCCCCGGGCCGGGCAGCCAACACGTGTCGGGAGAGAAATGGGTCTAAGACGAGTTACCAAGATGAGCTAAAAATAAACCCGTGACGTCACTGACTGTCTCTGATTACACCGGGTTGGGAGCTAAGTGTGAGACAACAACACACACACACACACATACATGAACGCAAGCACACGCACACACAAACACGCAAGCACACACATACATGAACGCAAGCACACGCACACGCACACACGCACATAAACGCAAGCACACACACACACACACACACACACACAGGCACAGGCACACAAAGACTTGACGTCAATTTGTATGATGACGTTAATTCGTGTCCGTCGGTGTCGCAAACTCACCACCGGATGCCGACCATAAAACGTTCACTCCTTCAGGACCAGTTCACCACCGGCCGCCTCACCCAGTGTCTTCACCTGACCCGTACATCTCCACCTCACCATTCACCATTACCAAGAGACCAAGACAAAAACAAAACAATTACGACTTCCTGGAAAATGGGCCACAGGCAGCAGAGGAAAAGCTTCTATTAATTTTACGTAAACCCACCGACTAAGTATCTATCTATCTA